GGCCTGGACTCTATTTCCATTAGGTAGGTTGACATATATCCCATTTAAGGGTTTGTATTTCAAGAAGTACTTCAAATGACAGACTATATGATCTGTTGCCCTAGTATCCAGCACCCAAAGTGGTTCTACAGTATTGGCTAAGAGTGTAGACAAGACTGTAGTACCTGAACTGGAAGGAAGGTACACTGGCTGATATTGAGTCACAACAGCATTGGCAGAGTGTCTGATTGAAGGTGATGTTGGTGGAGAAGGTGATGGTGAAGGAGATCCCAGCAGAAGCATCCTCAGTTTTTCCATTTGTTCATTGCTCAACTGTAGGCTTGCCAAACCTCCATCTTTGGTTTGCAAGTCAGATCTTCTCTTCACTGAAGCAGAAGCAGCTAGGACCCCATGAGCACCTTCTGGTTCATTTCCTGTTTTCAGTGAACCAGCAAAACCACCTCCTCCAGCTTCTCTTGCCTTTTTGTTTTCAACTTAAGACATTCAAACACAGTGTGGTAGTCCTTCTTGCAGTACCTGCAAAACTTTTTCCCATTCTTGAAGTCTCTATCACTGGTTTGTGGGTGTTGAGAACCTTGATTGTTGTGGTTGGATGCTGCTGCATGTGCTACTGATTCCACTCCTTTGCTCTTGTTGACACATTTCATTTGCCTCTCAAGCTGAACAATCTGCTTGAAGACAACATCAATGCTAGAAAGAACAGGGTTCATCAGCACTTGGGTTCTTGCAGACTGATATGAGTCATTGAGACCTTGCATAAACTTGATAATGAAGCCATTATCTTGATACCTCTTCATCACTTCATAAGGACCTCTTTGCAAGCACAACTAGGTATGGGTCTATACCTCTTAAACTCCTCCCAGAACATAGTGATATCAGTAAAGTATTGGGTAACTGATTTCTCACCCTGAACACACTTACCCAGTATCTCATTAAGGTCATAAACCCTCATGTTATCTTCCTGACTGAAATGGTTCTTTAGGTTATCCCATACATCCTTAGCATTCTCAAGTCTCATCACACTATTCGCTATGTCTTCAGCTAAGGCATTGTAGATCCAACAACGAATAGTTCAATTGCAACGAAGCCAGGATTGGTAAATGGGATATGTTACCTGTGGAACTGGGATTTGTCCATCTATGAATGGGATCTTGTTCTTGGTGGCGAGAGCAACCAGCATAACTTGGCTCCAGGTGTGGTAATTTTCATCTCCTAGTTTGATGGAGATGATTGTTGACAGAGCGCCATCTTGTGGTGGTAGGTAGTAGGGATTTAGATATGGATCTTCATACTGAGGAAAGTTTGCCAGAGTGGATTTCCAGGCGTTCTCAGTACTAGATCCAGATTTGGTTGTGTCATCTCCAGATCCAGTATCCATCGTCTTTGGTTAGGGTAAGAAAAGTGAAAAGAGGGGAAGTGAGGTAGTGGTGACGATCTGAAGTGACGATCTGGAAAGGAAAAGCAGAAGAGCAGAAGAGTGGAATGGGGACTGAAACCCTAGTATTGAGAGCAACCAGGCTCTGATACCATGAGAAGAATCAGAGTTTGGGGGAAAATGCTCGTTAGAGCTTTCCATTGATGATGAATAAGCTTATATACAAGCTACTAATTACACTTAACGGTAACTACAATTAACAAATGAAATGAACCTATAACTGATGTACACGTGTAAATGATACAGTAAAAATGGAAACAAGGATGTTAACCAAAACGATGCGCTTTACTTCCATTCTTCTTCTCTGCAAACGTCACCGTTTGAGGCTCTGCATTCTTCTTTGTTCTTCTTTCTTCATCTGCAGCAGAGCCTCCATTCTTCTTTACAGCAAGGCTGCTGCAAGGTGAATCATCAATCCTCTCTGTTAGAGTAGCCGGTTCTTCCACGAACGAAGTTTATATATGCAGTAAGTAATTCATGAAGGATATGCAACGACAAGATATAACTTAACTTCCTCCTAATATATAAGCTCAAACCTAGACTAATTAAGAACAACTACGTACGTAGGTTTCTTAAAGTGATCGAGGTCAATGACAAACTGTTGAAATCAAGTGGCCTGCAAAATTTCGGACTAATAACTGGTCGAGTACTCATGGCTCTGTGACAATAACATGTAACTATATAATTAAGCTTCTTGTTGTTTGGGTACTCTCTAAAGCAAATTGTACATTCCAAACACATTCATCTACTGCCAAAGAAATGGGATGAAGAACGAACGGTAGAGTGGAGGAGACAACGTAACTCCATGTTGAGGTAGGTATATATGACAATGCTAGCTGCAATAGGCTGAAAATGATAGAAATGAGCTTTTTAGTATGTTAATGAGACACGTACGTACGTACGGATGGGAGGAAGAGTGCTTAAATTTTTTAACATGCAGGTCAGGTCAGGTGTACCTCCCATTTCGACAAGTCACTTAGCTTCCACGAGAAGCGTATGGCATGGGCTCTACCAAGAAAAGAAAGTGCAGGCATTGATATATATGATTGAGCTGGAATAAAACATTGAAGTTGGTTATTCTATTGGTCGAGTGGAGTGACTACTGGGGGAGATCGAGGAATTACATATTGCTGATCTGATGCCTTGTTCTTATTGCTGAAATATGAAGATAATGATGAAGGGATGAGTTGTGTACCATTCACTTTCAATGCAGATCAGAACATCTCCTGTAATGCACACAACCATCACCCGGATCAAGAGGTAGCTAGCTAGTATCGGATATTGATTCAGCGGTACGTACGTACACAAGTTTGTGGGGACATTTTGTTTATTTCGCAGTCGGAGGGGAGAGGACAGAAGACAATGATGGGCTCTAGGTTGTCGTGCTCGTTTGTTCCTCGATATGTCACCGAATTGATTTTGGAGATGGGATCAACCACGAGCAAGTTACCAGAGTGATTCTGTAGAGACTCGCAAGATCGAGGAACTGCCATTTGGTTCGTTCAGTCATCGACCTCCGTTTTTCTGTTTTCTTCCAAAAAAACTGTCATTTGGTTCGTTCATTCACTGTAGTTTTAATTTAATTAATAAAAAAGATAAACAATTTGTCAAACAAAAAACGCGTTTGAGTCGGACGGAAAAGATTCTCCGTTAGTGTGGGTTGGGCCAATAATCAGTAGTCAGTACTCATGAGCTGTGGTTTCAGATTAAATAAATCCAGTGACTGCCACGTAAGCTCCACGTGGCCCAATCAAAAATTGCGGCATCGATGCCGCACTTTTTACTGCGGCACTGTAGTATTGGCCCATATACTGCACGTTTAGCTACAAAATTAGGATATATGGGCTTGTATAACTCGAGGTTATTGACCTGATTTGAATCTATGTATCTCTAGTTGGAGATGTATGGATATTAAGGAGTAGGCATAGAAACGAGGTCATGTCAAGGTAACTACATCAAACTCATACCTACTCCATGGCCGGTAAAAGTTAGATCAAATGTTTTTCCTTGAGACATGGGTATAACAAGTTGATTTATTCATATATACATATAACGAAGATTATGACAACATAAATGAAGTAAAAAGACACTGATCAAAATAAATATTTCACCAATTTTTATAACAATCCTGCTCTAAAAAATGGAGAGTATTAAATTATAAATAAAGTCAAATTATTCGAGAATTTGAAACTCTCACACAATGATAACTAAAATAGAGCTAAAACATCCGCAACAAAAGTTAAACTAGAAGCAATTCGCTAAATATTATATAGAAATTAGATAAATTGGGCAGAGAATGAGTTGACGCATAGAAAAAGGGGCCCGAAGCAATTTGACTGGAAAATGTTTAATAAAGCATGTTATGCCGTAATTTCTACCCTATCTAGAAGCCACTGTTGTGCCGTATGTATGGGTGGCTATACGGTCCGGTCCTGTTAAATTGGACCAAATTGATTTGGTCCCAGTTCGGTTTTTTCGGGAATATAAGGATCAAAGATTGGATTGGATATACTCCGATCTTGATCCGGTCCGGTCCCAATTTGATTTTGATTTTAGATTGACCTTGTGGGGATTTGAGTGTTGGGGTCTCTTATCCGGTCTTTATCCGAGTTTTTTACGTCAAATCTAAACCCGAATATGAGATTGGATTGTTTGCTATCCGGTCCCAGTCTGGTCCCGATCCGAGTTATACGGTCCGGTTTCAGGTAAAACCAAACAGTCCTAGACCAAATTGCCAGCCCTAGCCGTATGCCACTCATTTAACTCCTATGTTGCAAAACTAAATTTCTTCATAAGTTGCAAACTAAATTTATAAGAGAAAGGAGAATCTATTATTGAAGTTTATTCCTTATGACAAAAGAAAGGAGAATCAGAAGGCAGGATGGGAAAGCTAATTATGGCTTGTAGGGTGAACTGAAGTACAACAACATAATTTGTCTATAGACTATTCTTCATGATCTCCAACTCTCAAACAAATTTAGCACTAGCGATGGTTTTGTCTTTGAAGTTCTTATAATGATTTGATCGCTCTCCCTTTTGATAGTGTCGATTAAAAAGGATAAATTTTTTAGAATAGTAGACTGATCCATTGATTTTAACATTGATTCACCTTAAAGATGAAGTCTCCAACTCGCTCATAAATTTGTACGAACAGTTTCGCAATATTACGAAAGCTTGACCTAGTTAACCTACACTTTGACGTTCCAATTATTGTGGCAAAAATGGACAATCACTAACATTGTGAAGTATAAACTAAAAAGTGTTATCTCTCCGCATTGCTTGGTGACCAAGGTTTCAAAGAAACTTGGGCGCAAAGGAAGTGAGAGGTTATTTATTTTCTAATATATCCCAAGTAAAATATTCAATCATAAGGACTAAGAACATCTCCATTGGTGCAATAGTATTTGCAATTGCATTTGTTTTTTTTTATTGTTACTTCATTTTTTTAACAATCTAACTCATCTTACTTGCATTGCACCACATCAATGTACTTAACTTGTAATTGCAACTAATTTTTTGATTTAATTTATTAAAATATAAACGTTCAAATAATAAAATTAATGAATAATAATAAAAAAGATGATGTGGCTTCCATTTCATAATTGGATTATATGCAAGCTTGCAAAGATGCAATTATCATCTACATCAATACAATTACATAATGCAATTCTAATTGCAATTTCAATGGAGATGATCTAAGAAGATTAAAAAAAAATCCCAAAAGGAAAACAATTATTTAATTTTTGAAGAAACCCTATTAAAAAGGTAGCAGCTTGGTCGTATTAGTAGAGAGGACTTTGCCTTTGAGATTAAAATAAACCTAAAGGCTTCTTGATCCACCACCGCCGTCTCCATCCATCATGACGACGTCGACCAAGATTCTTGGCCCTCCTTCAGTCGCCGGAGCGGCGCTGTCTGGCGATAAACCCCAAACAACAGTTACTATTCCATCCCCACAAACTTCAATCGAACCCCTCATCGTCAAGAGCCAGACGCTGGGATTGACGGATGATCAACCGATGGGCCTGTCGGAGCAAGGCTCCGACACCTACCTCTCCTTCGGCAACCCCTGCCTCGACTTCTTCTTCCACATCGTCCCCAGCACCCCCGCCGACAAATTAGCCGACCAGCTCAATCTGGCCTGGGCTCAGGATCCCCTCACCGCGCTCAATCTTATCTGCAATCTTCGAGGGGTGAGAGGTACCGGCAAGTCCGACAAGGAAAGGTTCTACGCTGCGGCGCTCTGGCTCTACACCCACCACCCGAAAACCCTATCCCTCAACGCCAGGGCTCTTGCTGAGTTCGGCTATTTCAAGGATTTCGTCGAGATTCTGTACCGGATCAACGAAGGCCTCGATGTGAGGAAGAAAGCCAACTTGGAGAGGCGAGAGGAGCGAGCAGCCAGGGTGATGGCCAAGAGGATGAGGAGATACGCACACATTTATCGCCACGATGAGAACGAGGATGAGGAGGATGAGAATTCCGAGGCTGGAGAAGAGCCGGAGGATGAAGAGGCTGGGGTTCGAATTACCCAGAAGGCCAAGAACTCGAAGAAATCCGTCGAGGCCTCTGCCACTGCCAAGCCGATCGACAAGGAAACGGCGAGAGCGATGCGGAAGGAGCGAGAGGCTGCCAAAGCGGCCAAGTAGCTGAACCGGTACTATTCCGATTCCAATTACAGACTTCTCTTCGATTCAATTGCATATCTATTTGTAGATCTGGTGAAATCCGACATCGAGGCTCTTAAACCCAAGGATTACTCGAGGATCACTCTGGCGGCCAAGTGGTGCCCTTCGATTGACTCCTCGTATGAAAAATCCTTGCTGATATGCGAGGCGATTGCTCGCCGGATCTTCCCCAAGAACAGCGAGAAGGAGTAAGAATCCATGGAGGAATCCCACTACGCTTACCGCATCCGAGACAAGCTTCGGAAGGAAATCCTCGTCCCTCTCCGCAAAGCGCTTCAAATCCCAGAGGTTTACATGAGCGCAAGAGAGTGGAATTCCCTCCCTTACGGCCGCGTCCCGTCCGTGGTGATGAAGAACTAAAAGGAACTGTTCGTCAAGCACGACAAGGAGCGGTTCGAGGATTATCTGGAGAAGGTGAAGACCGGGAAGACGAAGATCGCAGCAGGGGCGCTGCTACCGCACGAGATCATCGCCCAGCTCAACGACAGCAACGGTGGGGCGGTGGCGGAGCTCCAGTGGGAGAGGGTGGTGGAGGACATGAAAAAGCAAGGGAAGCTGAGCAACTGCATTGCTGTTTGTGACGTGTCTGGCAGCATGTACGGGACGCCAATGGAGGTGTGCGTTGCGCTCGGACTGCTGGTTTCGGAACTGAGCGAGGAGCCGTGGAAAGGGAAGGTGAGCACGTTCAGTGAGGATCCGGAGATGCATTTGGTGAAGGGGGAGACGCTCAAGGAGAAGACCGATTTTATCAGGACGATGGATTGGGGAGGCAGCACCAATTTGTACAAGGTGTTCGACAAAATGCTCGACACAACGGTTTCGAACAATTTGAAGGAGGATCGGTTGGTAAAGAGGGTGTTCGTGTTCAGTGACATGACATTCAAGGATGCTTATGAGGAGCCTTACTCCTATCCCGAGCACCACTACCACGGAGGATCTGACGATGATGATGACGATAACGAGGATGAGAACGAGGAAAAGGAAGTAGCTGAGGAGGCGAAGGAGGAGAAGAGGAGCTGGGAAACAGATTATCAGGCGATACAGAGGAAGTTTGGTGAGAAAGGGTACAAGAGGGTGCCGGAAATTGTGTTCTGGAACCTGAAGGACTCGTCGGCGACACCGATGGTGGGAACGCAGAATGGGGTGGCGCTGGTGAGTGGGTTCTCTAAGAATTTGCTGACTATGTTCATGGATGGAGATGGTATTGTGAATCCAGAGGATGTGATGGCGTTGGCCATTGCTGGGGAGGAGTATAAGAAGCTTGTGGTGTTCGACTGAGTCGGATTAAAAAGAGATTTTGTGCCTCCCATTTTGGTAGTGATATAAGGAGTAGTGTTAGCGTTTATAGTTAGCGAGAGAGCCTAATGTAATGTTTGTTTTCCACCATTGGAGGGACTCAGACTGAGCTATTGTTCTTTGTTTTGATGAATTCAATTTTCTTTGTTACATGGGTTTTGCGACTGTGGCTCCTTTCTTTCTGCATTGCTTACTCTGCGTGCGATAGCCTGCCATGGATTTGAATCAATAGCTAAATGAAACAGAATGATCTTCTTCTTACAAGAAAGAAAAGCTTTGATTATAAATTTATAATACTACACCATGACTGCCACCAACCACGCTTGATTATAATCGCAATTCCAGCACAGTACTTGATGATATATGGTGAAACTCAAGAGATGATTCAGCAAAATTAGGGACTATAATGGAATTTATCCCCTCAGCAGCTGTTTCTCAACCAAGCATTAGCGAGTTCTCAGATTGGATTACATATGATCAGAGTCGAATCCAATAATCCTGACGGCAGATGGGCCGTTGAGTAGCAACCCGGCCCAATACTAGAGGCTTATTATCAATTATAATTGCACTGCCCGTATTTGTTTTACTGCCCGTATTTGTTTGCAATATCAGATATCGTACTTGATCCTTTTTTTTTCTTCAGAACGGTATGTCTTTGGGAAAAACGGTTCAATAATATATTTATTTGAATAGAATAATTGAAATGGATATTGTTGGTAATGTGGTATTATATGGGTCCTAATTAGGGTCTCCAGATCTCCACCACATACCCAAATAATATAAAGTTGACATGTACTATTTTTTCCTTCTGAAATACCTACAAGTAACTTTATTTGAAACACAGCCCCCCTGGAAAAAATGGGGTCTTCACTTCTCTCTCTCCCTCTATCTGCCCTTCCCCCTATCCCTGGTTCAAGTGCCACCTGCCGAAGAACTCCTGCAGCTGCCATTAATGGAGCCTTCAATCTCAACAAGCAGACTACCTGTAACTCAATTAAGAGGTCATCATTAGATCTTATAGTGAATAAGGAAGTGATATGTCATATTGAAGAAGAGCCAGTCCTGCCGTCACGCAGAACCAATGGGAGCAGAGCCATCTCAGAGGAGAAACCCAGAGAAACAACCAACCCGCCGCCCAAACCACCTGAGAAGAAGTCAATCAACGAGCAGTGGAGTTATTTCGCAGAGGATTTTGGAGATCTGGGCATTAAAGATTGGTATGGTGGGGAAGCAAACATTTACTCCATATACCCTGTGGGAGATCAAAAGGCCAAAACGGCAAAGAGAATTTACTGCCAAAACGCACCTGAGGCAGAGGGGAGAGGAAAGCTCACAATAATCATTAGCCACCACCATAGCCTATCCCAGCAGTACAGGGATACTGTGAAGGTTCAAGGTGAGAATAAATGCTCTGACCTTACCTGGAGGCCGCCATCTAGAAGAAAAGCTCAGAGTGAGAGGAAGCTTACCATCAGAGGATATAGCTCGGCTAATAGCTGCTGCCATAAATGGTATAATCAAGGAAACCTGGCAGGGAAGAGGAATGAAGAGACACAAGGGAGATGGCTTTCATTACCCGCTACATTTATTGAGACCAAGACTTCCATTCCTCAACCACCCAAGCCCTCGTCGCCCTATAAATGGGAAGCTTGCCCGGAGTCAACTATACTATCACACTCACCAGACAAGCATCCAGCAGAAAGACAACCGAAACACAACCTACTACCAAAAACACCTTACCATCCAAAGCTCTTAACCCAGTTAAACTTAGCAAGCATGGAGATGCAACCTAAAATCCTGAGAGGGGAAAGAAGCCATCTGGTGCTGAATGTGCGTCCCACCATTGTAGGAGCACGAGGGAGTGGCATGGCCATGCTGTTGGGCAAATGGATCACGGATGCCAGCATCAATCTGCCCAAAGCTAAACATGCGGCAGTCAACAAATGGAGGGCCTATGGCGAAGTCCAAGCAACGAAAGAGGCGGAGAATCTGTTCGTGTACTCCTTCCCGTCCGAGAAACAACTAGATGCTGTGTGGGAGGCTAGACCATGGAACCTGAGCAACACCCTCATCGCCCTCAAGAAATGGGATGGGGAACAGATAGGAGAATCGATCGATATCCCTACGGTGACCCTCTGGGTCCAAATGCATGACCTCCCACAGTCTCTGAAAGATGAGGAAGCCGTTCAAGCAGTGGTAGCTTTCATCTTTCCCCAGGTTCACTGCATTGACCAGTCAAACTTTGACTTCAGAGGCTGGCTGAAATTCATAAGGGCCAAGGTGGAAGTCAGCATCGATGAACCCATCCCAATCTGTATTGAATACCCAGTAGGGGACCGCTCAATCTGGGTCAGCTTCAAGTATGAGAGGATCATGGACCTTTGCTATTTCTGCGGGTGGCTAGGTCATCTGATCCACAACTGCACAGAAAGGGAAGAACATAGAAGAAGGGGACTGTGCACGGACCCATCGGAAGTGTACACAGACCCGCTCAGGGCCGGACATGACTCGCCGGCAAACACTCCTCCGGCCTCCTTCAGGGAAAAGCAGGCTGCTTCGCGCCGACTGAGAGCCCAGAGCCCTGCCACCAAACAGATCCGAGGTTCCCGAGGCGAATCTTCCCAAGTCACTCTCGCGGGCCTCCCTTTGCAGGGTCCTTTCCCCTACCACCTGGGTATGCCCTACTGTCTGGCACTAGAAGAGGGGCAGATTGGATCTACAGAGGAGAGGAAGTCAACCCGACAACCACCCTGCAACAAGCCCGAGTGAGCTCCCAGGCCCAGGCCCAGACCCATTATATGGTTCCAGAAACCATGGTGGTGGCCCAAGAGGAGGAACCGGCCAGGCCTGAGAAGAAATGGAAACCAGAACACAGATCAAGCCATATCAGCCCAATACAACAACAAGAAGCACCATCTAACCTTTCATTTGACTGTCTGTCTTTTTCACCAGGTGAGAGCAGGAAGATTTAGCAAAGGAGGAAGCACATAACCAGGAAGAAGAGTCTGACCGAGTTGACGGCGATAGGGTGCCAGTCCGGAGAAGGGGAATCTGCCACTCCGAGGGCGACGGCGGCAAGCTTGAAGCCACCTTTCCAGGAATGAGGATACTGAGCTGGAATTGTAGTGGGTTCGGCCAACCCCTTACAAGGAGCTACTGCGGTAGGCTCTGCCGGCAATATGGCCCTTCTATGTTCTTTTTGATGGAAACCAGGAAAAAGGACTCTTTCATGGAAGAGAAGAAAAGAGCAATGAAGTTCGAATGTTCGGAGTATGTTGGCCCGAGAAGGGAAGGTAGTGGATTAGCACTGTGGTGGAAGGAAGATGTGGATATTGTTATCCTGGAATCGTGTAAGTCCTTTATGGACACTAGAATTAGGCAGAATGGGGTGGATTTTTTCTGCACTTCTGTTCACGCTCCTACCTCGGCGGTAGAGAGAAGGGCTCTCTTGGATCGACTTACGACCCTCAGGGCAAATTTTGAAGACAAGTGGATTGTCATCGGTGATCTCAATGTTGCAGCGTTCCCTTTTGAGAAACAGGGACGCTGCCCGTTAAGAAATGAAAATGTTGCACCCTTTAAGTACATCATTGCTCGTAACTCCCTGATTGACCTTGGTTTCTCTGGCCAAATCTTTACCTGGAGCAACAAGCAACAGGGGAATGACTTGATCAGAGAAAGACTTGACCGAGCGCTTTGCTCAACCTCATGGAGAACTGAGTTTGAAGCTGCTTTTGTCTCCCATGAGGACTTTGTGGAGTCTGACCATTGCCCGATTAGGATTGACCTGCATCCTAACAGGCAAGCTCGTTGTACTCCCTTCAGATTTGATAAGAGGTGGAGGGATAGCGAGGAGTACTGTGATATTGTTCTCAAGCGATGGCAAGAGGGAGGAACTGTGTGTGATATATTGAGTGACTGCAAAAACGAACTGAAGGCTTGGGCCAGGAATGACAGAATAGCCAAACAAAGGAGAGAGAAGGAAATCAGGAACAGAATTCAGAATATTCAGGGGACCTTCAGGTCTCCAATGGTTATAACAGAAGAGAGGAACCTCCATATGGAATTGGAACAATTATGGAGCTCAGAAGAATCGTTCTGGGCCCAGAGATCAAGAATTTCATGGCTTCAAGAAGGGGATCAGAATTTTGGCTTCTTCCATACAAGCACAATAAGAAGGAAGAATCGGAATCGAATCCTTAAACTGAGGGATTCAGAAGGCAATTGGATCTCCAACACCAAGGATTTGGATTCTCATGTCAACAACTTTTACCATGAGCTCTTCAGTAGCAGGAATGAACAGGCCAATCTGGACCTGCTGGCAGGGTTTCCTTGCCTTGTTACAGAAGATATGAACCATAGCCTCAGTTCCCCTGTTGACAAGAATGAAATCCGGAGGGCTGTGTTTCAGCTCGGGGCTAATAAAGCCCCGGGACCTGATGGTTTCCCAGGGCTGTTCTTTAGGAAGTTTTGGAATTCTATTGGGGATGTCTTCTGCCAGGAAGTTTCTGGTTTTTTCCATACAGGTATTTTTCCAACTGGCTGGAATACCACATTTATCACAATTATTCCTAAGGTTGATGTTCCAGAAGTGATTGGCCAATTTCGGCCAATCTGTTGTGGCAACTTCAGATATAAAGTTATTACAAAAATCTTGTCCAACCGACTCCAACCCTGGTTGCCGATTCTGGTTAATAAGCTCCAGACAGCTTTTACAGGGGGAAGGCAGAGCCAAGATAACATCATAATTGTGCACGAGGTTCTCAATGACTTCAAAAAACACAAAACTAGAAACAGAAAAGAGATGATGATGAAGCTGGATATGAAGAAGGCTTATGATCTGGTCGGGTGGAACTTACTGATCAATCTCCTTCGGGCTTATGGCTTCGGTGAGGTCTGGTGTAACTGGATCCAGACCTTCATTTCAACTGTTAGCTTCAATCTCCTTCTCAATGGTGAGCCTTCGGATGCTTCCAAACCTTCTCGAGGCATTCGACAAGGGGACCCGATCTCCCCACTTCTTTTTATCCTGATGTCAAATGCCCTCTCCTTCCTCGTCGAGAAAGCAGTCCTGTCTAATGATATCAAAGGGATCAAGATCAATCGCTACTGTACCACCCTCACTCACTGCTTGTTTGTAGACGACACATTTATTTTTGGGGAAGCTTCCACTGAAGAAACTGGGAAGATCCTTGATATCATTAGAATGTATGGGGCAGTGACTGGACAAGAGGTCAACAAAGAAAAATCCTAAATGTTTTTCAGCATCAATGTCCCCAGCCCTGAGCAAGCAAGGATTATCCAGGAAGCTGGGTTTGCCTCCACCAACTGCCACTCCAACTACCTTGGAATCCTGACTGAGTGGGGGAGATCCAAAAAGGAAACCTTCAGGTTCCTTCTTCAAAGAATGGAGAACAAAAGTGATTCATGGAAAAGCCTTCTTTTATCGCCAGGGGGGAAAGAGGTGCTCCTCAAAGCGGTCTTCCAAGCTATTCCCTCCTATATTATGTGTCTGTTCCTTATGCCAAAAACAACAACTAAGAAGATGGACTCTATGCTGAGAAACTTCTTCTGGGGAGGTGCGATGACTAAGAGAGCCATTCACTGGAGGGCAGGCGAGGTCCTTTACGCACCAAAAGAAGAGGGGGGCCTGGGTTTCAGACCCTTCCATACTTTCAATTTGGCATTGCTTGCCAAACAAGCATGGAGAATACTTACCAACAAAGAATCCATGTGGGTCAAGGTTCTCAAGAGCATCTATTTCCCGAACTCTGACTTCTTGAGCTCCAAGAAAGGTGGAAAGGCGTCCTGGATTTGGTCCAGCCTGTGTGAAGCAAAGAAATGGATGGAAATTGGGATTATTAAGGTCATTGGTAATGGTAAATCTACCAAGATCTTTCAAGACCCCTGGAGAAGAGATCGGGCAGGACCCCTTCTGGATTTCAACTGGCCTGACCAAGCAACAACAGATACATGGATTGATGGTATCACTAGAGAGTGGAAGTTTGACCTACTGCAAGATTTCCTGAGCCCCCGCGACCTAAAACAAATCATGGCCATCCCTATTGGCCCGGATTCCCTGGAAGATTTCTGGGCATGGAGATTTTCTGAGCAAGGTTCCTTCACTGTGAAGTCAGCATTCCATCTGTTTCACAAGCAGACCAGGACACCTCAAGGAACGAATGGTAGGGTCTCAGAGGCTTGCAAGGATAGATGTAAATGGCTGTGCAGCCTCTCCATCCCTCCGAAGCTCAAATTTTTCATATGGAGGATTTCGAAGGGAGCGCTGGCCTCGAAGGAAAACCTACATGCTAGGAAATGCTCACCATCCATGACGTGTCTTCTGTGTTCCAATCCAACTGAGACTATCCATCATTGCCTCTTCACCTGTCATCATGCAGCAGAAGGATGGAGGCAGGAATGGCCCTTGACCCCTCTTCCTGCTCCTGGCACCCCATTCCTGGAATGGCTCTCGTCTTTGGTGCCCAGATTCTCAATTCTCGCTGTCCAAGAGATTATCTTCTACCTCTGGCAGACTTGGAAAGCAAGGAATGAGAAGATTTTCAAGAACTCCCCCCTTTGGCCCCCAGCTACGATTGCAAAGGCATCCCTTGCTGTCCATCAATGGACCACCTGCCCCAAGAAACCTAACACTACCACTGTTCCAACTCAGCCTACCCCAACACCAGACCAATCTTCACCACCGCCGAGTACTCATGATTTTGAGATACACTACGACGGGTCGTTTTTCAGCGACTCCCAGGAGGCGGCATATGGCGTCATCGTTATGAACAGCCATGGTCAAGTTTGCGATGGTAAGGCTGAGACCTTGCACTGTTTCTCCCCACTTGAAGCTGAAGCTAAGGCCCTGTTGGTTGGCTTTCGTTTGGCTGCTGAGCTACACTCCACTTGTCTTGTTCGATCGGACTGCCTGCCTCTTGTCAATGCACTGCAGCACCACCAGAAAGAATGGCCATGGAGAGCTGCTGCGTGGATCAGCACTGTCAAGCAAATGATGATTTCCAATCCCCTTGTCCGGATCTCGCATATTGGTCGTAAGAACAATGTTAAAGCAAACTGGGTTGCTAGATCTTGTGCCAGGAAATCCCTACCCAATGAATGGGTTCAGATTCTGGATGTGGTCTCACCCTTGTTGTAACTCTTGGCTTCTACTTCAAGTAATGGAATTTCAGTGTCCTCTTGTAAAAAAAAAAACTTTATTTGAAACCATGTTAGAAAGATAATACTTTTAGAATGAATATAAGGGGTGCGAGTTCACGGTTCCGGACGAAACCCAAATAGCTAATTGCCCAAAATCGAGACCATTAAAATCTTATCAATTTTTGGTTAATCGAAAACCAATCTTTAATTGTGTGAAGCCATGTCGATTTTTGACTGTTTGTTAATCATTTTCAGTGTTAACCAAAGCCGTTAACGGCCTATTGGTTTGTAATCGTTAAAGAAAAGTAAGTAGAAAATCAATAATTAAGCATGTGAAACTCTTTTGATTTTGATTAGAACAGAAGAAGCAAAAAAAACCCAAAACTGAACCGCCACCCTAAGTACAACTCACGAATTCATAAGCTTGTAAGCGATCAGGATTTAAAATTACAATGCTGATGAACAAAGGAGTACACACAGTGACCTTGGTTCCTCTCTCTCAGGCTCAGCCTAACAAAGAGAGTACCCAACCATAAAAGAGAAACGACGCCATGCAACAACTTTATCATTATTATCATCATCATTATTATTCCTGGCGACCAATCGATAACTACGGTTTCTCCGCCGCCTTAGGGTGTCCTGGATCGTCCTTGGGGAAACCGGGATCCGCCTTCTCCGGCGGCGGCTTGATCGGCGCGGGCTTGTGGAGGAACGGGAACTTGAACCACGGGTGAGGCTTGTGGCCGAAGAACTTCTTGAAGAAAGGGTGGTCCGGGTGAACCGGCTTCGGGTAGTCGAAGTCCGGCTTGTGGAAGTACTTCTTGAAGAAGTGATCTTCCTCGAGCGCTTCTTCGGCTGCGGACGGAGCTGTTTTCGTCGCCAGAGCAACCACTAGAGCTACGACGAGCACGAGCAGGAACCGATTGAGCTCCATGGCAGGCTAATGGTCTGTGGTTGAAATTGAGAAAGGGCAGGGTACGTTTTTATAGTAGAGGAGGCAGGGCTACTTTACAGGTTAATTTGCATGGTTTTTGGCCGAAACTTGAGCTGGCGGTCGACGGTTAGCGGGAATTAAATTTTGAAGGTCAACAACAATTTTTGGTGGGGGGGAGTAAATGAGATGGGTTAGTGAATCTGTGGAGGAGGTAGTGGTTGGAAAGGAGTGGAAACAATTGGTGCAAAATGAACATCATTTAATTACCGCTTTCTTTTACGGTTTAGCCTGTGAGTTGTGACTCGTGAGTTACGGCCCAGTGATCGTTTGTGTAGGTTAAGTCCGGGAACGGATCAGGTCAGTAAGCTTATGGTGAGTAACCATGAGTAACCAGCCCACATTAGCATGATATCAGCATCCCTCTTTCCTGGAAAGCCTTTAATTTTCCCCTTCTTAATCTTTGACAGATGATTTCTCACTCGTTTTAAGTCGAAATTTAATTTTTTTTTTTTTTGCACAGTTAGATCAGATTAATAGTGCTCTTCAAAATGATACCCACTTTGATATATTTTTCGAACAAAAAAAATTGAGCCATTTTTTACCAGTCTATACCATATGGTATTGACTGGTATTGAAATAAGAACATACCTATGGTTTGAAAAGCGTACCATGGTGGTATGAACAAACCAAGACTATAGGATGGTTGAATACATGATAATAGAAGTATATTAACTGTCATTTACGACTTTTATCATTGTGTACAATAATATACCACCCCGTACCAGGGTGGTATTGTATGGTATTGTGTGATATTTTTTTGTCATGTAATTTGTTCACCCAGAAATTTGTAGATTCAATAGATCATGATGAACTCGTCCATTTTGTGCAAAAGTTTTTAAAAACAAATTAAAAACAAAGAAAATACCATAATATACCATAATATACCATAATATACCACCCCGTACCAGGGTGGTATTGTATGGTATTGTGTGGTATTTTTTGGTCATGTAATTTGTTCACCCAGAAATTTGTAGATCCAATAGATCATGATGAACTCGTCCCTTCCGTGCAAACGTTTTCAAAAACGAATTAAAAACGAAGAAAATACCATATGGTATGCAGTTGGTACCGAGAGGCCAGAATTTTTTTTCTAAAAAAATATTGAAAAATTGATCTCATTTTGTAGAGCAAGATGAACTCGTTCCATCTGTGCAAAAAAAAAAAATTAAAATTCGAGTTAAACCGAAAAAGATATGAGCCGATTAAAAAAGCTAGAGAATCAGGCCCAGTGATCGTTTGTGTAGGTTAAGTCCGGGAACGGATCAGGTCAGTAAGCTTATGGTGAGTAACCATGAGTAACCAGCCCACATTAGCATGATATCAGCATCCCTCTTTCCTGGAAAGCCTTTAATTTTCCCCTTCTTAATCTTTGACTGATGATTTCTCACTCGTTTTAAGTCGAAATTTAATTTTTTTTTTGCACAGTTAGATCAGATTAATAGTGCTCTTCAAAATGATACCCACTTTGATATATTTTTCGAACAAAAAAAATTGAGCCATTTTTTACCAGTCTATACCATATGGTATTGACTGGTATTGAAATAAGAACATACCTATGGTTTGAAAAGCGTACCATGGTGGTATGAACAAACCAAGACTGTAGGATGGTTGAATACATGATAATAGAAGTATATTAACTGTCATTTACGACTTTTATCATTGTGTACAATAATATACCACCCCGTACCAGGGTGGTATTGTATGGTATTGTGTGATATTTTTTTGTCATGTAATTTGTTCACCCAGAAATTTGTAGATTCAATAGATCATGATGAACTCGTCCATTTTGTGCAAAAGTTTTTAAAAACAAATTAAAAACAAAGAAAATACCATAATATACCACCCCGTACCAGGGTGGTATTGTATGGTATTGTGTGGTATTTTTTGGTCATGTAATTTGTTCACCCAGAAATTTGTAGATCCAATAGATCATGATGAACTCGTCCCTTCCGTGCAAACGTTTTCAAAAACGAATTAAAAACGAAGAAAATACCATATGGTATGCCGTTGGTACCGAGAGGCCAGAATTTTTTTTCTAAAAAAATATTGAAAATTGATCTCATTTTGTAGAGCAAGATGAACTCGTTCCATCTGTGCAAAAAAAAAAATTAAAATTCGAGTTAAACCGAAAAAGATATGAGCCGATTAAAAAAGCTAGAGAATCAGGCCCAGTGATCGTTTGTGTAGGTTAAGTCCGGGAACGGATCAGGTCAGTAAGCTTATGGTGAGTAACCATGAGTAACCAGCCCACATTAGCATGATATCAGCATCCCTCTTTCCTGGAAAGCCTTTAATTTTCCCCTTCTTAATCTTTGACAGGTGATTTCTCACTCGTTTTAAGTCGAAATTTAATTTTTTTTTTTGCACAGTTAGATCAGATTAATAGTGCTCTTCAAAATGATACCCACTTTGATATATTTTTCGGACAAAAAAAATTGAGCCATTTTTTACCAGTCTATACCATATGTTATTGACTGGTATTGAAATAAGAACATACCTATGGTTTGAAAAGCGTACCATGGTGGTATGAACAAACCAAGACTGTAGGATGGTTGAATACATGATAATAGAAGTATATTAACTGTCATTTATGACTTTTATCATTGTGTACAATAATATACCACCCCGTACCAGGGTGGTATTGTATGGTATTGTGTGATATTTTTTTGTCATGTAATTTGTTCACCCAGAAATTTGTAGATTCAATAGATCATGATGAACTCGTCCATTTTGTGCAAAAGTTTTTAAAAACAAATTAAAAACAAAGAAAATACCATAATATACCATAATATACCACCCCGTACCAGGGTGGTATTGTATGGTATTGTGTGGTATTTTTTGGTCATGTAATTTGTTCACCCAGAAATTTGTAGATCCAATAGATCATGATGAACTCGTCCCTTCCGTGCAAACGTTTTCAAAAACGAATTAAAAACGAAGAAAATACCATATGGTATGCAGTTGGTACCGAGAGGCCTGAATTTTTTTTCTAAAAAAATATTGAAAATTGATCTCATTTTGTAGAGCAAGATGAACTCGTTCCATCTGTGCAAAAAAAAAAATTAAAATTCGAGTTAAACCGAAAAAGATATGAGCCGATTAAAAAAGCTAGAGAATCAGGCCCAGTGATCGTTTGTGTAGGTTAAGTCCGGGAACGGATCAGGTCAGTAAGCTTATGGTGAGTAACCATGAGTAACCAGCCCACATTAGCATGATATCAGCATCCCTCTTTCCTGGAAAGCCTTTAATTTTCCCCTTCTTAATCTTTGACTGATGATTTCTCACTCGTTTTAAGTCGAAATTTAATTTTTTTTTTTTGCACAGTTAGATCAGATTAATAGTGCTCTTCAAAATGATATCCACTTTGATATATTTTTCGAACAAAAAAAATTGAGCCCTTTTTTACCAGTCTATACCATATGGTATTGACTGGTATTGAAATAAGAACATACCTATGGTTTGAAAAGCGTACCATGGTGGTATGAACAAACCAAGACTGTAGGATGGTTGAATACATGATAATAGAAGTATATTAACTGTCATTTATGACTTTTATCATTGTGTACAATAATATACCACCCCGTACCAGGGTGGTATTGTATGGTATTGTGTGATATTTTTTTGTCATGTAATTTGTTCACCCAGAAATTTGTAGATTCAATAGATCATGATGAACTCGTCCATTTTGTGCAAAAGTTTTTAAAAACAAATTAAAAACAAAGAAAATACCATAATATACCATAATATACCACCCCGTACCAGGGTGGTATTGTATGGTATTGTGTGGTATTTTTTGGTCATGTAATTTGTTTACCCAGAAATTTGTAGATCCAATAGATCATGATGAACTCGTCCCTTCCGTGCAAACGTTTTCAAAAACGAATTAAAAACGAAGAAAATACCATATGGTATGCAGTTGGTACCGTGAGGCCAGAATTTTTTTTCTAAAAAAATATTGAAAATTGATCTCATTTTGTAGAGCAAGATGAACTCGTTCCATCTGTGCAAAAAAAAAAATTAAAATTCGAGTTAAACCGAAAAAGATATGAGCCGATTAAAAAAGCTAGAGAAAATAAAAATAGTCTTTAATTCTCCATCCTTAGATCTGGATTTTCTAAATGATAACTCCATATTTGGTTATTGATGGGTGCATAACCATGAGCCGTTAAGTCCTTAGAATGGGGATGGATTAGTTGTTAACCCCTTATGGAGTTCTCACCATACTAACTAAATTAATCATCATTAAATTAAAATGTAATCCTAGCGTAAAAAATAAATGAAGGATAATTTCATCAATAGCTTCTCAAACCCTAATATAAAAAAAAAATTTGCTATCAACCCTCTCTCGTCTCTCCTCGATCTCTCAACCGTCTCTCCCATTCTCTCTCTCAAATAAATCATTTTCTTCTCTATAACTCCCATCTTCGACCGATTACTCTTTCCGTTCGACTACGCCATCGATCTTATCCACGTCGCCCTCAGCCTCGCCCCCTTGGCCTCTTTCTACACCGACCGCCTCTCATTTGCGATTTGTCTCTCTGCGTATGGTGCGACGATGGTGAACTCTGACGAGGGCGAGATCTTGGAGGCGAAGAAGGCCACCAACGGTGACGGTTGAAGGACGGTACGACATCCGGTTGGTAGAATCCGAGGATTGCCATGGCACGTACGTTACGAAGGAACTCAACGGTTCTGCTGCTAGACGAGGCGCCAAGCACGCTGAATAGCCACAGCGGCGGCGACGTGGTGGGGGGATTTTCTTGACCTGGTTAACTCGTCGCGAGTGACTCTTTCTTCTTTGGGGGAAAGAAAATTTTTATTCGGTAAATGATACAGATTTGTGAATTATGAAATGAAAATACTAGTAGTGTTTTCTTCTAGCGTTTATTTGCTAGTAGTGTTTTCTTTTATCGGACATTTTGCTAGTCGTACTTTTTTAAGTATTGATGTGGGTTGTCTTTAATCG